CCTTCGCAGGCGATGTCGATATTGGGTGCACGCTGCTGACAGTCCCGCACATATTGGATGAAATCATCTGCATCCACAAATTCTATCTCTTCACTTTCTTTCCACACTACAAAGAGAAGGTCCCTGGTGATGACAAAATCAATTCTGAGCCTTTTTTTATGTGTTTGCTATGCGTTTGCACTGCGTTTCGATGCGTTTTGATGCAGTTTGAAATGGGACAAGCAGTACTTTTTCTGACTGCATCTGAACGGACTGCAATGGTGTGAATTAAAGGAGAACTATGGGGTCAGTGTTTTTCCCCATAGTTCTCCTTAGGGTAACGGGAGGACACAAACTAGCTTCCTCCCGTTACCCTAAGCTCAGTATACCGCGAGCTACAGCTCGCGGTATACTGAGACGCCGCAGCCGGAGCGGATCCCGACATCGATGTCGAGATCTGCCCAGCTGCGTGAGTGACAGCTGGCTCTGCCTATCAAGAGGCAGAGCCAGCTGTACCCGCCCCCTCCCCGTCCGTTCCGCCAGTCAGCGCTTGACGGATCGGAGCGGGAAGGGGGGAATCCAGCCCCTCCCCTGTCACGGCACAGAGCCGTGACAGGATCGAGAGGTGAGCGAACGCCGGTATATGTTCGCTCACCTCCCGATCTACTAAGCCGACCTGTGACAGTCTCATTGTCACAGGTCGGCTAGAACTATGAGGTGAGTGGAAATCACTCATCTCATAGTTCTCCTTTAAGCACAAGAAAGCTCATAGGAAAGCATTGTGATGTATTTTGACTGCAGCAGTCAAAATAAACGGACTGCATCATACTGCATATGGTGTGAACTGGCCCTAAAACCGCAGAACAAGTGATTTTAGTGTGCAGATGTGCAGAGCCACACGGCACCATTTTGGAGTAGATCCTGGTATACATCTAGGTGTATAACAAAATCTACTCCAAAATGGCCACCGCTCGTTCAGCGTGTGACGTCACCATCATGTGACGTCACACGCTCCGTCTCCAAGATGGTGGCAGGCATGCGCAGAGCACGCCGGCGGCCAATGTGCCGGCGTGTTCTGAAAATGAGTTTATGTATGCCCGAATATAATTTTGGTATATTCGGGCATATATTAAATTCGTTATTTAGGATTCGGACGACCCGCCGAATCAACTGATTTTCGTTGATTTGCAGGTTCGTTCTAATCCAAATGCACATGTCTAGTATTCAACTTTATTTTCGATAATGGCTCCAGGACAAGCAAATATACATTGCCCAGCAAAGTGTTTCTTTATACTTTTGCCCAAGCACTTACAGCCATCATGTTTCCAAACTGCTCCGACTTTCTTAGTTCTGTTTCCCTGAACTTCCCGTTCAGTACAAGATCACAAAGGACAGAGCAGTCTCCAGCAGCCGTCCATCTACTAGCCTGGAGAAGGAAGAAGGGAGGAGTAGGAAGCAGAGGAGTGGTTTGCCTTGCTGTGTCTGTGTGTTTGTGGAGACACACACAGCTTACTAGCACACACAAGGGTGACTCATAGGACACTGCAAGGGAAAGGAGCCACCCTAAAACAGAATATCAGGACCTCCCCTCTCATATTCTCCTGGCTCTCATGTCATCTTGTTTAATTGCAGTTACCTGTTACTATAGAGATGTACTCTCGAAAAATATTTGCATCCATTGCTGTTTGGTTATGCATACTTACCTGATATTAGTTACAGATGCTTGTATGACGTAACTGCCTGGGTGGTCGGCTGGCCCCCAGATTGTACTTATCTTGTATTGATCCTGCATTGACTACTGTATGTTTTGTATCATAAATACCACAATAAAGAAATACTTGCTTAAAAAAAGAATATCAGGACCAGCTGATTCTGCAGGAAACTAGAACTTTTAAACATCACGGAGCAGCATCCATTGTAAGTGATTTCATCAGCATTTGAAATAGCTTAAAAACATTTTGACTTCAATGTCACTATAAAGAATAATCTGATGTGCTGAACTTTTACTGCGGTTTCAACAAAATGCATCTTCCATGATAATGTTTACAAGGATATCTAAGACACGCTTCTCTGCAACTGTATTGAATGAAAAATGAAGAGGTGTGAATGTAATTTGTACAATCTTCAATAACGATACAGTAGATGATAGAATAGGTGATAACTTTGTCTACACTATTTTGTTCTTTGCGATGCTGTAACAGCATATTGTGCTTGTCGCTGTGATAGGAAATACAGACTTTGTGTAAAATCTTCCTATGAGCTGACATTAGAAAAAATACAACTTTGTCATAGGAAAATACTCATAAAATGAAAAAGCTTTCACGAGCTGGACCCTCCTAACCCTCTTGTCTTGAATTGATTTGAAATCTCTCAGAATAATTATTATATGCCACAAATGACCTTATTCAATAGAGAGGTCTTATTCTCAACTACTATTCCTATGGGTTAAAACTTAAACCCATAGAAACCGAAATCAGTCTAACACAGGATGGCTTCTGATTGGTTGCTCTGGGTTACGTAATTTGTAATTTGCCTGTAAGCTGTATCCCATAGTAACCGAATCAGAACTCATTCTTCTGAAATCGGTCTAACACAGGGTGGATTCTGACTAGTTGCTATAAGTTACTGCACCCATAAATAATAGCTCTTTATTCGAAAGGGCCACACACATTGATCACAAAATGTGCATTTATTCATTTTTTTTTGCAAAAGGTGGACTATGCCTTTGGGATATAACCCGAAGTAATTAATCAGAATTCATTCTGCTGAAATCAGTCTAACACAGGATGGATTCTGATTGGTGGCTGTAGGTTGTGGCATAAAAAACAACAACTCTTTATTCAATATGCCACACACATTGATTAAAAAAATGTGAATTTATTATTATTATTTTTTTGGCAAAAGGTGGACTATGCCTGTAAACTGTATCACATAATAACAGATCAGAACTCAATCTGCTGAAATCACAGTCTAACACAGGATGGATTCTGATTGGGTGCTGTGGTTTACAGCAATGAGAAATACTAACTCTTTGATAAATAAGGCCAAAAACATTATTTAAAAAAAAGTGTGCATTTATTATTATTATTATTTATTTTTTGCAAAAGGTGGATTATGCCTATAAACTGTAACCCATAGTAGCCAATCAGAACTCACTCTGCTGAAATCAGTCTAACACAGGATGACTTCTGATTGGTTGCTGTGGTTTATGGCATCAATAACATCTAATATATGGCCACACATATTGATAAAAAGTATGCATTTTGTTATTATTATTTATTTATTTATTTTTGCAAAAGGTGGACTATGCCTATAAACTGTAATCCATTGTAACCAATCAGAACTGATTCTGCTGAAATTAGTCTAACACAGGATGGCTTCTGAATGGTTGCTGTGGTTTATGCACCAATAACATCTAAAAAATATATATTGATATATAGATTGATTAAAAAAAAAGTGCATTTATTATTATTTTGCAGCGATAAGCTGTAACCCATAGTAAGCGATCACAGGCCATTCTGCTGAAATCAGTCTAACACAGGATTGTTTCTGATTGGTTGCTGTGAGAAATAATAACTAATTATTATTATAATTATAAAGCTATAAGCTGTAACCCATAGTAAGCAATCACAGGTCATTCTGCTGAAATCAGTCTAACACAGGATTGTTTCTGATTGGTAGCTGTGAGAAATAATAACTAATTATTATTATTATTGTCATTATACAGCGATAAGCTGTAACCCATAGTAAGCAATCACAGGTCATTCTGCTGAAATCAGTCTAACACAGGATTTATTCTGATTGGTTGCTGTGGGAACTAATAACTCTTTATTAAATAAGGCCACACACATTGATTAAAAAAAAGTGTGCATTTATTAATATTATTTTGCAGCTACCCATAGTAAGCGATCAGAGGTCATTCTGCTGAAATGAGTCTAACACAGGATGGATGTGGGACATAATCAGGCCAGTCAAGGCATATTTGCATTTGGAGTATGTTTGTTTGTAATAAGTATATTATAAGACAACACTGAAACATTGTATGTTGTGTTCCTGTGATGTGTGTCTTGCAGTGCAGAGAGATGTTCTTCTTTCATGCTCACACACACACACACCCAGCATGTCCCCACCTCTCCTAGCTGACCCTGACACCCAATCCGGATGCTAATTGTATTGGATGAGCTCGGGGCTGTGACGGCGGCTGTGATTGGCTGCCGGCTGTCAATGTGCTGTGTGCAGCTGGAGTTGGAGCGGTCAGTGTACACGGGAGGTTCGGGGCAGCATCAGTCAGCGCTCGGCAGCTGCAGCATCATAGGCAGGAGAAGCATCACCTTCCCCAGGAGAGGAGCGCAGGGCAGCCCCGGCCATCACTCACCCTCCCTCCCATCATACCAAGCAAGGACACAACTTACCCTGGACCGGAATCCCCCTGTGGGGACACCAGAGACATTGGGTGACACCTCTACAGAATGGAGGAGGATACCGCTCGCTGAGCCCACCAAGCACCAGGCAAGGAAAATCATGTAGAACTGCACAAAGGAGCCCAAGTCATTGCACTGAACAAAGCGACATTTGACAGAGCTGCAGCATTTCAGATAGGTCATTGGATCTGATTGCTAGAATAGAGTGCTGATTCTGTGTATGTGTGTGCGCTCTTGGAATCCTGTATGTAGTCAAATTAAAGGACTACACCCCTTCATCAAAAAGTGTCTTTGGCTTGCACTCATTGCAACTGCCTGGCTCCAGCTTAATTCCATTGCAGCTTCTTCTGGGTGCAGTGTCACAGTCTGCATTCCTGGCCTGTGGGTTGAGCTGTGTGCCCACTGTGTCATGTAGAAGCATCCACATCTTGGACATGCCCATTTTCAACCGTTCTGTCTTTTTTGTATCTTGGGGCCCCTGTATGCCCCTAATGTCAGATAAGTGCAGCTCAGTGCACAGCACCCAGTACATTTGCTAACTGGGGTCAGTGCTTTCCACCCAGAGATACCTCCAGTCCTATAGGACAAGCTCCGAAAGGCTTCCTGACGTTGACAAGCTCCGAAAAGGCTTCCTGGCATTGCCAACTGGGCTGTGCATGTTGCTTCCATTGCCTGTGGTCCAGCTTTCTAACTCTTCTAGTTTAATTTCTTGGCTTTTGCACATAGCCCATCCACAGAGGACATGGAGAGGATGCGAGGATACTCATGGTGGCGTCTTGGAGTTGTCTTCTTTGTACACTGGGCAGCAGGGGATACGGGGAGCAAAGCCAAGAGCTGTGAATCGGTGAGGCAGGTGTACAATGCCAGGGGCTTTAGCCTCACTGGAGTGCCCCAGTCAGAGATCTCAGGTGAGTGCTTCTCTTATACTCTCATTCTAAGAGAATGGTTAATCTTGGACATTGATGAAAGAAAAAATATGTTTTAGGTGGAATGAGATGAAATGTTATTCACGTGCCTTAAAAGTCTTGGAACCCGTTTGGTAAATTGTAATGGTCAGCACAATCTTCAACCACTCCTAACAAAAGCTGTAGAACTCAAGTAGTATATCAAATCTCTTTAGAGGATGGTTCAGAAGAGCAGCATATGGCCTCCAGCTGTTGAGGAACTAAAAGTCTAAGCAGGTTGTTAACATCTAATTGTTAGTACATATACATCCTCAATAGTTTGAAGGCCTTGATCTACAAATTTTTGCCTCAGGCTTGTAATACACCATAAAATGGTTTCCATTCTATGCCCTGGAATTGAATGGTACCGTACTAAATCTTCAATCCACGGCATTGTTCCAGTCATTGTATAAAACGTCACAGGATTCCAGGGAGTATCCCTGTAAGTTGGTCAAGGTCCTTTTTGTTGTAGTTCTGAAGCTGTTCTTAGGTTCACATTGCTGTAACAGGCTTTATTATATTTCCTAAATGGTATCAGTTAAAGTGGAGCTGTCAGTCCGATCAGTGGACTCAAGATTATTGGACTTATTAAAAAACATGCTGTAACCCTCAATCACCAACCAGAAATGAGCTTTTATTAGTGTACCCATTCTAACATGCTGAAAACTGTTTTCTGTTTGGTTTGCAGTGGCTGGATGCAAACCACTGTTTTTTGCACTGTTCTAATTAACGTTTTGTTCAAAATCATGGCAGTGAGAGCTGCAATATAAATGTTTGAAGTCTCCTAATTTCAGAGTTTCTTAATTGGGCTAGAACAGTCTACCTTCCAGATAACCATTGAAGAACCGTACTGGGATCTCTGCTGGTCTTACTTTGTGTTCGGCAGTTGAGTAGTTAACGAATAACACAAACGAAATGTGTTTTTTTTTTACTATGGTGTATTTATGATGACCGTTTGTGATATCACAATTCTTCATATTAACAATGACAGAAAAACTTCCATCAATTCTTTAAAAAAAAAAAGGGTTTTTCCAACATTCACATGTCAGTCTAATGTGATCTGTCAGCTTACCTCTTTGCTGAACAATGCCCAGTTGTCCAGTACTATGTATTGTGACTCTTTATTGAAGGGGTGCAAGCAATTGTAACGTAATCTTGGGGTACAAGTGCTTGAGAAGTCAAATAGAAATGGTAATGTGATACTCCATTGTTCTCTACACTGAAATACCCTGCTATTGCCCTATAGAGTATACCAGCTACACCTACAGCATGTCCCACCTAACCCATGTGCTACAGGGTGGAAAAGAAACCGAAAGACTTTATCACTCACAAATTTAAAAATAGAATCCTTGATTATTAACATCACAGTCATGTACATCTACCCTGGCATCATAGTAAATTTTCCAGTGCTAGTTCAGTGTGAACCTCCAGCGTAATTGCCTAGTATTAAGATTTCAGCTGTACTCGAAGTCTGACAGCTTAGTGAGTTCTCTACCAAGCCTGCAGGTGTTTGCCAACGAGTGTCTTCTGCGCTGAAACCTGCATGGACATGCCATACAGATTCTTTATTCTGACTTCTTAGGCCAGTGACACATCAGAAAGCATTGCTACAGTCATGTGATTATATACGGTAAAACATCTTTGATGACCGGGAAAAACCAGATAAGACACTAAAATTCTCTGCCGATGGTCATAGTCCCTCTTAGCTCAGACAGTGGAACAGTTAAACCTAGAGCGTATGATCTTCATGAATAAAGCAAGAAGTTAGGAATCATTACTGCTTAGCCAGTAATGTGGTTGTTATTGCACATTCTTCTTTTATTTGTGTTAGTAAACACAGTTTAATGACTGCTTCAGCTCTTTAGACAATGTTATATGCTAGCGGACAGCATTATATGGCAGTTATTTGTTTAAGTAGACTGATTTATGGTAACACTTGTAAAGGTTTGAAGCTGGTGACACATAGACTATTTGAGGTCCAGCAAATGGTTTGCTAAGATGTAGAATACCAGTCTTCACACTTTATAAATCACAAATAAACAGGGGTGGAAAAATCAATATGGAATTGAGGGGCCAGTCTGTCCAATCCAGGAGCCAGTAGGACTTTTTTAGGAGCCAGCTCCATTGACAACAATTAGAGAAAATCTCAAAAGTTATGCGCCAGCATTAGTTACCTGGCTCCTGGGATAGATAGATAGATAGATAGATAGATAGATAGATAGATAGATAGATAGATAGATATTGCTCTAAAACCTTTGAGCCTCACCAGTGTAATTACTGTTGGCCTCATCAGTTCCAAACCAATCTTTAGCTCCATACATCTGTAGTATTGGCATTTCTGTTCCAGCTCCGTAGTTTCCTATAGTTACAAATTACTGCTGAGAATATTCTGAGGTCCCAAGATTGTTAATCATAACTGTATAAAATGTAGAATAGATGTTGAGATTCAGCAGGGCAAGTCAAGTAGGAACCATTAACTGTCTTCTTGCAAATGTGGATGCTGGATGAGCACCCCTAGACATAAAATCATGGTTGTATGAAGATGTGACATGCTGATTTGCTCTTCGTTGCTTATCCTGAGCAAAGACTGTGAACTACAACCACCGGCTTTTCAGTGTCTTTACTGGGAAACGACGGGGGATTCACAAATTCCTGGGAAATGTTTTTGACATTGGTGTTCATAACCAGAGGAGCAACTAAAAGCAGTGGGGGTGGTAGGTTAGAGGTCTAACAGGGGTATTCACAAAAGGGTGAAGAGTTTGGAGAAGGCAGGAGAAGTGAACAATCTACGATAACATAGCTGATCTGGAAAGTGAGCTGAATTGGAGATTGTTTCCAGTTCACCTATGTTGGCCTAGATTGTTTACTTCTCCTGCCTTCTCCAAACTCTTCACCCTTTAGTGAATACCCCTGTTAATGATACAGGCTTTGGTGAACATAACAAACATAGGCCCTTCATATCTGTCATGCAAGTACCTGGTTTCATTTTAACTAGAGCAGCCAAAAAAAGATAAAAAAGAATAACACATTCAAATATAAAGTCACCAAAACCAACTTGTGCTGCAATATTTACCTTCAGTCCAAAGATTTCCCCCTCAATACTTTTTTTTTTGCCACTCAATGTCCTTAGTCTGGTGGCCAGCATTATTTATCTCCCTTTCTCTGAGCCCAGGTCATCCTGGTCCTACCTCAGCCTGTGACTGGACAGTAAAATGAGAAGAGGCAGAGTGATAAGCTCATCTTTCTGTCACACTGCTTTATCTTCTTATCAACATACTTCTGGTCAGCACATGAAGTGCTTGGCTCCATGTACTGCTTCTTTCTCTCACACTCCAGCCCTGCTGTACAAGAAGTCGATGCTAGGTCAAATCAGGTTCTTACACTCACTGCTTGTATTTGAAAAATAGATTTGAAGAACAAAAATTTTACTAACCTTTCAAGTGGGTTCAAGTGGACTTTTACACATATCTTTAAAATAACAGCAAACACACCTTTAGAAATGTTTAGTGATGACAATCTACAAACAAATACTTATAGATAATTGCAGGTATTCTTTCCATACACTATTTCTCTTTTCTCCCCCAGTCTTCTGACAGTGGCCATGTTAACTAAGTAACTAAGGGCAGATTACTAGTTCTCCTTTTACTTCCTGGATTTCTGGCACATGTGACTAGACATGTGACTAGGGCATGTGACCATGCACATCAACCCAGGGGAGGAAAATGCCTGAGATCTTGTGATATTACAGATGAGATTTCCCAGTAATGCTCTGCTGATCACAAGGCAATCGCTGTGTGCATTGCTTTGGCAAACTGAAGTCATTTTGCCCTTTGAAAGCAGGAAGTGAATGATCTGCAAGTGTAAGTATTTCATAATCACAGAATTTTACACCTGACATGTCTATGTTATTATTAATCATCACACATAGAGGGATGCATTGGTATAATTTGATTTTTGAGTGTAAAGTTTTGTTTTAACCACTTGAAGGCCATAGTGTTTCACCCCCTTCCTGGCCAGGCCATTTTTCAGTATTCAGCGCTGCGGTACTTCGACTGATGTTTATTCTGTCATGCAACGCTTTACTGAAACGATTTTCATACCATTTTTTGGGGACAGATAGAGCTTTCTTTTGGTGGCTTTTATTCACCACTGGGGTTTTTATTTTTTACTATATAACAAAAAAAGTACCCTAAATTTTGAAAAAAAACATGTTTCCCTATAAAATGTTATGAAACATTTTTTTTCACCCCAATTTTTTGGTAAAATATAAAAGTCGGGGTCACGTCGGGTAAATAGACACTAAACATGTCAACCTTTAAAATTGCGCGTGCCCGCAAAATCGCAGAAAACGACCGCAGCCAAAATTGGCCATAGGCGACGCTTTAAACGTTTTTACCGCTCATCAGTTTAGTGTCATCAGTGA